TTTTGCATCGCGCACAGTTCTTGAGTTTTGATCAAAAACTCGTATCTGAGACCAAAAGATTCCATAATTTTCACCAAGGGCTTCTTTTGAACAATGGCATGTGATGTGATCCTACTATTTAGCTTCATTGGCGTTTCACATGCGTACGTTACGCGTGATACGATCAGCTGTTTTGTTAAGTTTCGTATATTTTTCCTGTTTTGGTATATTTCAAGTAACAAACGGAACGAAAACATTGTCTTGTTGATATTCTTATTGGAGAAGAAGATGCTGAAAAAGAGGAGTTTCCAGTGGAGGAGTCTGCAGCTTCCAGTGAGTGAAATGTTTTCAAGTGTTACACATTCAACATGGCAAACTTGTGTAATGTCTGAATGTATATCCAGAAGATTAACTGTAAGTTTGCAGGATATCATTATATTTGTGTTGAAAGTGATAAATTTACTCCATTTGAATTATTCTTTTTGAATTATCCCCCCCACACACACACCGTTCCTTCTTCCTGTGCTGCTCCCAGTTCTTCTTCCCTTAACTTGTAGTTAGTAGCTTTTTAATTTTCAAAGAACGTCAGAGTAATTTTCCTGATCATGGAGCTACAAACAGGCCTGTAAATTTAATAAAACTCTTTGAGATTATTTCTACGGAGCCCTACTCCATGGACCATTAGTACTCCAAAAATTATGTATTGGTCAAATAAAATACTTTATAAACATAGTGAATTGTTTAGATGTGCATGCATATCTTAATTTCTTTTGAACTTCCCAGCTCTCTCAGATTTTCACAGTTTGATACAGGGCAGGATTTGACCGCCATATTAAGTTTAACATTAAACTTCTGGCCACTTCAAACGGAAGGCTTTAATGTAATCCATGAACGTTTTCTTTAATAGGTTGATTACCATCTATATTTATGATCTTCAGGAGGCCAAAAGTACGGATATATTTTATTTGGCAGCAGATTTTACGTCTTTCAAAATACCTGTTCATGTACGGTGTCTCTAAGAGGTGTACATTGTTCAATCTATTACTTAAAGCCCTGATGGGTTTCCTGATTGTGTACAGCGATGAGGATACAAGCTTATGTTAATAGGTTACCAATAAGACTTCAAAAGAGTAATCCATGTATTTAACCTGAGCTTCTCTTCACTTGTTTATTTGCAGTACTGTAACAAAATTGAGATTATTGTAAACAAACCAAACAAAAAAACATGAATGGGTCAGCAAATAACTGCAATTGGGGCTGTTGATTTGGAGAATGCAGGAAGCTCATGCAGAATTCAAGACAGTGGGTTTTGTTTAACATATGCAGTTTTTTTATCTTCTTGTCAAAGGACTGGTTACATAGTGGTAAAACTAAAATGGAGGAACTAGTAAGACTGAGAGCCCCCTGCCCCCAAAAACTGGATTGTATCGAACTGTGACAATCAGAGAGCTGGCATATAAACATGTACATCTACATCTATGTACATCAAATGATTTACCATGTTTATAAAGTATTTTATTTAACCATACATGATTTTTAGGGGAACTCCATAGGGCACTCCATGCAGCAGGGCTGCACGTTTTGTCATCTCTGGTGAGAAAGTTTTGTGACTTTCCTCAGAATGATGCATGTATCACCTGTGAATACCAAAGTGACAGCAGACCCCTGCTCCTCTTACTTCCTAACTAACCTTTCCCCCAATTGGCGTGAGTCTAGGATTATTTCAGTTTTCAAGAAAAAGGCAACTTCCATTCTGAAAATAACAACAGCATGATTGACATCTTAGTTAACATATATACACTGATGAATGGCTGCATGTTTGTCAATATCCTTCATTGGAGAAGTGAACATTCCAAAACTTTACAAAGCATTACACACTGCAATAGTCAAAATTAAAAAGTGTTCACAAGGATAGAAATAAGTTATAATTGTCAGTGTTTGCATGCAATGGGGAAGAAGAGCAAAGAAAGTGATCCATGGCTGATTGTATTGATTTGAGCTAGGCTGTTCTCTTTTCCTTGCATTGTTCAACTCATTTATGTTCATATATAATACATACATGCATACTTTATTGACTTTCCCCAAAGGAGGCTTTTCAAAGACAATATACAAGAGTTACTAATCACAAATAAGAATAACAATGACTAAAATACATAACAAGACTCATAACATATACTAAGAAGGTTCTAAAAATTATAAAAATATATAAATAGAAAATCTATAATAAAAGGTTCTTTGGCCACTAGCAGTTTTAAAAAGTGGAATATTCAACAATTGTGAGTTTCTTGTATTACAACAGCTTACCTCGGCTTCTTTGAGAATTCTAAGGACATGTATTTGGGGGCGTGGGCCATCATACATTTAAAGGCCATTGTAGCATTTTGATAATATAGCTGGTTTGACACAGATAGCTGGTTAAGCTCTTTAAGAATGGGTGTAATATGATCGTACTTATGCGCTCGACTCACAATGCAGCAGGCAAAGTTTTGCACAGCCTGTAGTTAATGTTACATTTCGATGTATTTGCCCATACATTAGAAAAATAAAATACTTTACTAAAAACTAAAGGGTTCATACTCAACAGGAGTGTACTTTTATCTGAAGCATGCTTAACACGGTTTATTTGGGGAAGGCAGGACATGCATGAGGATACAGTCTTAATTATGTGTTCATCTGAAGTTAGATGGGAATCTAAAATCTAAAATCACGCCCAAGTCTTTAGCAGTGTTTAAGGGGACTATGTGTCTTCCCATAAAGGGAAGGGAGTGAAATTGCAATTTTGCATGCATTTGCCTGCAGCCAAATATTATTAACTTGGTTTTGCCAGGGTTGAGTAACAAGTGGTTGTTAGAACACCATTCTCCTATTTTGAGCAGGTCATCTTTCAAAGTCGTAGTTGCATCCAAGTTGTCTTTTAGTTGAAAGGAAGTGATGAGTTTTGTATCATCTAGATAACTCTGAGTGCAGCATGACTGTGGTATTGAGGGAGGATCGTTTGTGTAGATGCTGAATAATAAAGGGCCCAAAATAATCCCTTCAGGTACACCACTGGTCACGCGCAAAGGCTCAGACAGCGTTGAGTGGATTCGTACTACTTGTTCCTTGTTGCTTAAGTACAGTAGCTGCGAAACCATCAAAGGGTATCACAGGAGATTCCAACGTCTTGCAGTTTTAAAATTGATGTCTCCTGATTGACACTATCGAAGGCCGTACTCGGATCTAAGAACACAATAGCAGTTAGCTTTTTTTTAATCGATAGCGCTAAGAATTGTATCAGTAGTTTTGATGACAGATGTTTCACTCATTTTTTGTTACTGCTTTGGGTTTTTGATAGGGTGTCATTTGATTGCAGATGCGAAGTGCGTTGATTATGTACGACTTTATCGCAAACTTTAGATAACACTGGTAAGAGTGAGATGGGCCAATTATTGTTAGCCTGTTCATGGTCCCCACCTTTTGGAATGGGTATAACCGCAGCTGTTTTCCATTTTGATCGAAAAACATATTTGAAAGGATGTGTTATCAATAGGCGTCATTGTGTGAACGGTTGAATTTAGACAGTCTTTGGTGACACGAATCGGGATTTTTTCAATCCCTGGGGCCTTATTTGAAGGCGTCATCATTGTTATACGCTGTATCTGTTTGAAATCAACAGCACTCATTTTGAACTGGTCAGAAAGGGGGTATTGTCTTGGTGTAAAATAATTATGATTGAGTGTTAGGTTGCAGTCATTAGCCAAGGATGCAATTTTGTCAACAGTACTCATACCAACAGATACGAAGAACTGGTTAAATTCATCTGCAGTAGTTTTGTCATTTTTACTGAATATTCGCTGGGATATAGATTTATTAGGGATGCAATAGCGAATTGCTTTCCAGATGTTATTGGTGGTGTTCGCATTCCTCTGAGTCTGTTCGGCAACAAATTCCTGCTCAGGAATCCTGATTTCTCGTTTTACTTCCTGTCTGAAATACCTGTAGGCAGTCCAAGATAGCGGGTCATTTTCTTTCTTTGCTTTCTTACGCCATGCATCCCTAGTCTTCATCAATCCGCTGATGTTATCTGTTATGTATGGGTTTGGTTCACCACGTGCTTTGAAAGTTTTAACTGGAGCATGGCGGTCAAGTATCTCAGTAAATAATAAATCAAAAGCACAAAGTTTATCTTCAACATCATGAAAGACATCAACTATGGACCATGGTGCCAAGGATACGTCGTTAAAGACAACGGGACTTTAATGTTTAAACTTCCACTTGTAATATAGACAGGCTGGGTGCGCACTTTCTTCAATCTTAAGGTGACATAAGTCATGGTCGCTAATCAAGTTTTCCATAACCGCAGCCGTTTGGACTTGTTTAGTATTTGATGCAAGGATAGCATCCAGGATTGATTTCAAAGTCTCAGTGACTCGTGTTGGCGTAGTGATCATTATTGATAAGTTATAAGAGTGGCACAAATCAACAAGGGCCTTAGCTTCAGGACTCTTTCTGTTCTCAAGTCTGCAGTTCAAATCTCCCAGGAGATATTGGCAGGTTAAATGGCCACACATGAATAGAGTTTTCCACAAGATCGGAATTCAAGTAAGATATGGGAGTGTACGCCAATGGTGTACCTCGGCATTTGAATTTAAACCCACATACAACCCACAATTCCTCCATTTGCTCTGAAGAAGGGCTAAGACTTGAAATGTCAGCTTTTTTATTTGTTATGGTGGCCAATTTACAATTTCAACTGAGTTGATATAACGGTACCAAATTACTCTGTCCTATAATTTAGTGAAACATAAGCACATACTCTGCTGCCATTTTTCGTCTGACGGTCGATACGGTAGATAACATAGCCCGGAATCTCTATTTCCAAATCTGTAACTGAACTATTGAGCCAGGTTTCAGATATGGTGAAAATGTCAAACTTGTTTTCCAGGACAACTTACTTTACAAGAGCAAAGTGCTTACGGCATTTAAGCAAGTATATGTTAAGATGTGCTATTTTCACATTGCTAGTTGACTTTTCAAACTCGTTTGTGGTAGAGCAATTTGCAGGCCGGGGATTAAGTTCGACATCATAAAGTAGTTCTATAATAGGACTAAATGCAGAGGTTGAATTGTCGTAATAGGCTGTAGTGGCGCTTGCTCATTTGATTCTACAAGTGACATTCACATGAATCTGCCATTTTGAGGTGTGTATCCTTTGAGGTGTGGATCAAATGAGAAAAGAAAGTTATTTTCGGCCTTATTTAAAATCAAAAGCTGAAAACAAGGACATCCATTGCGTATGGAATAGACTTGCATCTTAGCTTACTTTAATACTAAATGCTGGTTTCTATTTCCTCAACTGGATCTCTATGCTTAAAACAGATCACATATCTCAGCTTACAATTACATGAATTCTATCCTTGTTATGGGATCAGTAGAGGGTTAGAGAAAGTGTGTTTTGTTCACCAATAGAAGCTTGGAAAAGAAATCTTGGAAAGAAATCCATTAAGATGTTTTTCCCTGATGTTCTGTCAGCCTATACTTTATTACCAATTAATATGATCTTGATTTTTTCTTAGCCTACTAAATCAGTAAATTTGAGTTAGCAATGCAAATGTAGATGAAATTTTTCTTTCATTTCTTTTGAAGTCAAGGGTTTTTTATTGTAAATCTGAATCCATGATTTTATGAGACATTTGATCATTATTTTGTGATTTGTCAAGTGTAATATTCATTGAAAATGGAAGGAACATTAATGACCACGAGACTGAGGATATTTCATGACAATTTTCTTCAGGTGGCTGCAAAGTGATAGAGGCATAATGAAAGCTTGATTGTCCGGACCTCAAGTATCTGAATTTTTCAATTATTCAGACTTGCTGCTCTTTATGTGTTCCCTTTTTTTTATCATGTTGTTTCTTATCTTTTTTAAGCTTTTTGTAAAATCTATTGGCATATAATAACAGTAAATATGCAAAATGATGTGAGATTAAGTTAGTGGGATCCAAGATGCTGGTGTCTGGATTGGTGTTGAATTTCAATAATCTGGGTCCAAGAAAGAGCACTACCCGCAGCTTCATAGATAAGTAATCAAGCTAGCAAGCATTGCTGGATAAAAGTGATCTAACAACACTTCAGAACAGAAGACTGCAAGATATCTCTATCCTTATGTATAGGGTGAAACAAAAACAATGCCCATCAAAATATGCGAGCTATTTCATACGCATTGCTCACCCTACAACTTACGGATGGCAGACTTAGCTATTCCCAGATTTAGGACCAATAAATATGGTAAACATTCGCTCACCTACCTGGGACCAAAGTTGTGGAATAAGCTATCAAACGAAATCAGAACTCTCCAAACATTATTTAGTTTCAAAAATCGTATTCATAAATTTGATTTAGTTGTAATGGTAGAAAATGACAACTGTTCCAATTGCATCCTTTGTAATTCTTAATCTTTTTAAATAAGTTATCCCAACAGTTGTTAGTTAATAGGTTTTTAACTATATTATATTGTTAGGCCTTTTTCTAATTATAGTTTCATTAGAAAATAGTTGATAGGTTATTAATTGTGTCCCTAATTAGTAGTGGGGTTCTTAACCCCATTGGCTAGATATTTCAAGACACATTAATAAAGTTTATGTATGTATGTATGTTTATAATGTTTTTATCATCTTTATACCATTCTTGCATCATTCGAAGTTATTTTGGCACATTTGGTTTGTTTCAAAAATTAGGATCGATAAGTTTGGGAAGTCAAGTTAAAATGTGTCATATTTTCATAGATGTTAACATGGTTTTTTTTCATCAATCATGATTAAAGATTGGAAATGTCAATTAGCTATGCTCTGATACTATGAAGTACACAGACTAATGTTTTTAGTTGGAGTTCAAGTTATCATTGAGATTAAATTTAAGCCCAAGGAAAAGTCAAATTAGTTCAAGTTAGTGGGAAGTTTGAGTTGAACAAGTTTGAGTTAGCAAGGTTCAACTTTAATTCTGGTTCCAGTTTGTGGGAGGGATGGTGGCCTCATGGTTAGTGCACTCAACTCAGATCAAGTGGTCTGGGTTTGAACCCAGGGTAGGGACATGTGTTGTGTTCTTGGGTAAGACACTCTACCCTCGCAGTGCCTCCCTTCATCCAGGAGAGTAAATGGATACCAGCTGGGGGTAACTCTCCAAAGTAGAAATACTCCTAGTCACTTCATGCTACACAAATCAGATTTAAGCACTTGTCCAATGGGCCACTCGGCTCATAAACAGACTTTACTTTTACCTTTCACCAGTTTGCGATCAAATATCTGACTCCTGATAATTAAGCCTTTTCCTTGAAATACAAATATTTCTAGTGTTCTTGGTTTTCTAATTTCACAGTTAATCTTTTATTTGTTTCTTTCTCTAATGCAGTGTTTGATTACCCTTTGGGGCTCCTTACAAGTATCATGATGACAACAGTGGAAGGGACTTCTGGCACATCGGAGATGGAGCAGTCAGCATCTGCTTCTGTGCACAAAGTAAAAGTTGTGGCCCCATGCAACAGTGGTTCTGGAGCATCATCATCCAAGCTCAGTGGAGGAACAGCAGGATTGTCAGGTCTGATCACACAGTAAATAATTAGGAACTGCATGTGGATAACTTTTGATCACTTGAGTTTATCAGTTGAGATTGATCATGGTTGATGGCTTGCAAGAATGTTTATTACAGTTTTATAAAAGGAGATTGCTTAAACCAGAGTAGACTAAGGTACCAGTAGCTCTTTTCAATGGCAGAGACTAGCTTTAAACTCATCCGTATTGCCTACAAACATTTTACAGATTTCCAGTTTGTTGCGGGCCTCCTAAACTGAAATGATTTAATTTTCTGAGATCACCTGCATATTGCAATGACATGAAGATTAACTATTAATTAAGATAAAAAATCTTATTGGTTACACATAATTGAAAAAATAATTTAATGCCTGAAAACCACTCAACCATGCAAGGTCAAATTCTTTAGCTTAGTCTAAATAGTCCCTACTTTTGGAGCACCTCCCTTTTTTTTCTTTCTTGAAAATTTAATTCAAGATGAGATTAATTTGTCATTGTTACAGAAGAAGGGAAATATCTTATGTTTTCATGAATTCGTAACATAGAAGACATCCCCCCACAGAAAACAGTAAGCTGTTTGGAAACATTTTTTCATGTACATTGCAATATATTTGAAGGATAATAAACACAAAAGCCTTAATTTTGTGTGAAAATATGCTCGTATATTTGTTCATGGACATTATCAAGCTCACAGTTCTCGAAAACTTTGCACTTGGAAAACTGTTTGTAGTTTTGAACGGACACTGCCTGCAGAGAAATATTGGTGCATATTTTCACAGCAAATAAAGAAAATTCTATATTTATTTTCTTGCTTTACCTTGTACCTCAGAACTCTGTCGCTGGAAGACAGCAATGACAACAGTGAGTCTACATCATGATAATGAAAGACCTTCAGTTGAGGCATGTAGCCAATATGATGTAGGGCAAAATAACTAATCAGGAAAATTCTGATCAGTCTGAGTCCCAGAGCATCTGCCACATTTACCACTCTTCTGGGAAAGAAGCCCTTATAACTCAGTGCTACTGTTCTGGCTTGGCAAAACATGCTCATGCAGCATGTCTTTTGACATGGTTTAAAAAAGAAGTGAAGATTACTTTTGAATTGTGCTGGCTTAAAATTGGTATCAAGAAAAAGGGGAAACCTTTTGCTGAGGTAATTTTTATTTCCCAGCCTTTTTCTATTGATAGACATTTTTACAGTTGATCTCATTTTACCATCATCAACATCTTTCAATTCATCATCAGATTCCTCCTTGTTACTGTCATCATCATAGCTTTCATCATTATTTTCACCGCTTATTCCATACCCCTACCCCCCTTTCTATTCTACTCTCTCCTCCCCCTACCATTTGAAGTTTGGTCCCACTCTTTTCCCTTAAACCTGGTGGTAAATTAAGAGCTGATTGAAGGTGCTTGTGCCTTGTGAGTCCACAGCATTTTGACCACTGTGATGATGATGAATATTGTTGTCAATTAAAGTACAGACCATATTAATCTTCCTAGAAGTCATTATCATGTAACCTTTCGTTATCATATCCATACATTTTCCAGAAAAAAGATAGTGAGAATACCTATCAGTTTTTGTGTTGATCTAGCATCATATTCTTGTAAGTATGTTAAAAGGGAATGTATAGCAGCTAGAGGGGAGAATTAGCAATCAGATCTTGGAAGTTAAAGGATTTAAGCCTTAGAAAATAGAAACCAGAGACGTTACAGATATGCACTTCTAGTGAAAAGTAATTTAGAAATTTCAATTCCAATTGCATATTTGCAAGACTAACATAGTTTCTCTCCTTTATCCTTTGGCCAGGGCACAGACCAGAAGATAATAAACGCGAACCCCCATAATCTGGTTCACTGTATTTGTTGTTGGACTTTTCCTTAATTTGTTCTCCATCTCTGTGAGTGCTGCTGAACTTTGCACTTCAGCAGCTTGTGTGATAATTTTCAAGGTGGTGAATGGATTTGGAATCATTCTTGATGCTGCAATTCTTTACTGCTGGTGGACAAAATGTCTGTTTTATCGGCAGAAGTGGTTCACACTTAACCAGGAGCGGCTTATTGTAGTTGGCATTAAGAAGCAGTGGATGAACTTTACAAATTCCCCATATAGTTTGAATTGTGGTCCTATTCACCGAAAAGTTGTTTTGCGAACAACCACCTGGCTAACTCCTCAAGTCTTCTGACTTTGTTTAATTAGAAGTTGATCAGGTTCAGTGGATAGAATCACTTGATAACCTTTTGTAGTATATCAGCTCAATGACTTATGAGACCTTAACAAAATTCCCTGAGATGTTGGCAAGAAGACCCAAGATGTTGGCAAACTGGTCATTAGGAAACCAAATTGTAGGTGAAACCTTCAGTTACACATAGTTCCAGAAATTATTGAGATCAGAGTGTCAAAGTGAAACTGCAGCTATTTGATAGCAATGAATATACAAGCTCTCTTAT